TGATGAATATTGTTGTTTTCAGACTTAATGAACTATCTCAAGGCGAAAATTTTACGGTTTAACTAAAGGCGAAATTCATATTACGCTACGCTCCTGGAGAAAACTAACAACTCATGAGAATTTGCACTGTTTATTATTAATCTAATATTGTTTGTAATTATTGAAACTATGTTGAGGAAAATCTTGCTTGCGCATTTTTGGACACAGTTTTTTGTGCTTTATGTAAATACAGTATTGAACTTCGAGGGAGTTCTTGTAGCAACTTGTCAACATAATGTTTCAGCGGTTGTCGGCAAGTTGAGATGGAAACTATGAAGTCCGAGAATCGCGTGGCCGGGGAAAAATATGGGCTTAAGTCATGTCTTATGATAATGCCCACCACAACTCCTTTCATTATACAGATATGAAGAAAAAAAATGCTTTCAATGCCACAGAAACCCCCCCCCCCCCTCTGCCTTGAACACAGAATTCAGGTTTGTCGCAGCAGAAATCAAAAGTAAAGTTTGGTATCCTACGACGATTCTCTTGATCTATCACTTTGATACAAAATATAAATCCGTACATTATTATTCTTATGACATTGTGTACCACTGTCACCTTTTGAAATAGTAACTTCGGGATAAAGGTACTGCACAATGTTTAAACTAATATTTGCTCATCTTTGAAAGTCAACCTGCACCCACAGTGTTTGCAACTTGCTCTGTTCGTACACACTTGTGCAGCTGCATCAGTCTCCCCCTACCGTGTAATACATTATAATTCATGATGGGTCCGGCGTACTTTCAGCCATATTGTCTCGTTGAGCACAATTCACTATATATATATATATATATATATATATATATATATATATATATATATATATATATATATATATATATATATATATATATATATATATATATATATATATATATATATATATATATATATAATTTGCCCTGCGAGGGGGCTACTTTATCATAATATTAGTTGCACTACTAGACTGTGTGACCCTGGAAGACCTGGGGCAATACTGTGAGCATTCTTGTCTGCAGTTTGAGGATATGCTGCAGTATTCATCTCTCTGGCGATTTAAACTTTCTGATCAATATTAAAATCGATAGTTTCTGTTGGACGTATGCCAGCTGCCTTTTAATATTTCATAGTAATCTGTCTTTCGATAACAATTGAAGAATCAGCCTCCTCCTTGATAAATGCAGTATTTCGTGAATATTCTTGAGTATAAAACCTGGCATTGATTAAGATTAATAACAGCCATATGCTGCTACATTGGCATGAAATCCATGACTCTTGTTCCCTTTGTATAGGTTCCGAGGACCATGTGGACCGTTACTACCAATGACAAGTGCCTGATTTTATGAGGTTATATATATTTTTTGTCGCACAAGAGGCTATTTTCGTTTTTATACACCGTTAATTATATTGTTCATTGTAGAAATATTATTGATCATTTTAAACCAAAAATATTATGGTGATACATACATATTTAGCATAGTGTTTACAGAACATGACATCCCAATCTCACTCACCCGCATCTGCTGGTTGTGACGTCATAGTAGCCACATGTTGTCAGTGCTGCCAACCTTGCGATAAATTGCTCCGAGAGGAAACAAGAACTTTGCTCCGCTGTACAGAGGAGAAATCTAGTTGTCACCACACACACACATTATATATATATATATATATATATATATATATATATATATATATATATATATATATATATATATATATATATATATATATATATATATATATATATATATATATATATATATATTGATATCATATATATATATATATATATATATATATATATATATATATATATATATATATATATATATATATATATATGTAGATCCACAATGAAAGATATCTTGAATAAAGACGAAAGCTAAGGTACTCTTGTTTCCTTTTCCCGTGTTTTATTATCAATATATATATATATATATATATATATATATATATATATATATATATATATATATATATATATACATACATACATACATACAGGTGGTGGACAGAAATCCGAAACGTTGAATAAAATAAACAAGAAAGGCCGAAATTGTTTCAATTTGGTCTTGTTTGTAATTACGATAATGTGCCTCAGTAATTGATCTAGGCCTTCTTTTCTTCCCCGTTGATATAAGAAGATTCATTTCTGGCGAACATAGAATCGGATTGGATATACAGTATGTTAGTATTTGTGATCTATAGACTGTCGGTTTGCTAGAACCTTGCAACTGCCCTAGGGTCAGTTTGTAGCAAGGTAGCTGATTGGCTGGCAGACGGACATTGGGAAAAGTTACTACAGGTCTTGAGTATTTAATCTGCCCTACTGGATTTATGTTCTGGCGTTTCACATGCTAATTTTTTGCTCCCCTAAATCATGGCCTCCTTTGATATGGTTCCTCTCTCTCCATACATTTCTCTGTCCACTTATTACTTTCTTTGTGTTATTCTGTGGCTCATTATGCATTAGCCGACGCATTCATTCAACCCAGTGTTTCTTTTTTCCTTGCCTCCATTGTTCACATTGACTTTTTCTTTTTCCATTCTTTGAAACTTGATTTTTTTGGTTTGCCCAGTACAACATTGCCATCTGCAGACAGTAACTTATCCACTTTACATTTACACTTAGTTTGTATTTTTCTTATCCCTCCTACTTCTTCATTGCTATTTTACAGTAACCCAGTAAAATTAAGTTAGGATAGAGTTGTGGGGAACCGGTTGTTTGGTTCGTACTCAGGATGGGATGGAGAAAGGAAACTCACAATGTGCTCTCTGTATACTGTACATGTTGTATTGAATGTACAATGCAGCTTGGTGCTGGGAAGTGGCAGCGTGGTTACAAGCGTGATGTAGAGAGAGCTGGTTGGTGAGGATGCTCAGAGGACCAGCTTGTGGGTCGCCATGCTCGCCGGCGGGAGCGAGGGCCGCCAGGCAGCGACGGAGGAGGTGGTGTTGCTTGCTGTGGCTGTAGCTAGAAGAAGTGAGAGGTCACCACGAGGTCAGGTCTTTTGTAGCGGAGGTAGGCGTGGGTAGATAGTTGACCTCCGCTCCGTGGGCGGCGCTGGTTGACCTAGACTACGAGGCATACACTGGGGAATTCGCGGGGTCAGCTACTCAGCGACAAACAGCGTTTGTAGGGGAGGAATCCACTACAATACAGTGACCCCTCCGTTAACGAACTCAATCCGTTCCAGAAGGTCGTTCGTTAACCGAAACCATTGTTTCAATGGGTTTTTGGGTAATTGGTTCCAGCTCACCGAAAATTTCCTAAATTCAACAAAAATGGTAGAAAAGTTCACTTACTTTCAGGTGTGTATGTAGAAGGCTCCTGGATGATGATGATGATGATGATGGGATTTAGAATGGGGGTGGAGGAGAAGGAAGAAGAGAAGGCATTGGGGTGGAAGAGAAGTCACCCCATGGCGCCATTTCACCCATAAAATTTTAGCTCTCTTGGTGTAATTCAAGATTATTTTCTTTAAATCAACACTGCACTGCATTATATATTGTCAATATGTAAAATATATTTCAAAATGACCAATAATTTGCTTGGAAACACAGAAAAAAGCGTTTAGTTGAAGAGAGTCTCAAGCAAGATGTTACCTCCGGTGAAAACAGAGAGAGACTAACTCCTGTTTGCTGTGTTAAGAGGCTGGGTGCCGCGCATTAAACTAGTCACTTTACCGTCAATTATGTTCAATAATTGTTAAAATGACTAAAAATTTAATATAAAACTTTTAAAATTATTGAATAGTATAAACTTCTTGATATTTACTAAAATAGTAAGGAATTTAAGCCCTAGAACCGATTAATGTATTGGCGGACTGATACTAAAGCTGGTTGCTCGGTCAGTGCAAGCGAAAACATGTTGAGGTCGGTTCGTAAGAACTTCGTTAATCGAAAAAAAATTTTTTAACCGAATTGAAGATCCTTATGGAAGGCAGTTCGTTAATCGAAATTACGTTAACCGAGGTGTTCGTTAAACGAGGGGTCACTGTACTCCCTCCTTCCCTCCAGGCGGTGTAGGAGACTTGTTGTCTGCAGGGTTGCATGGCACATGTGAGGCAGAACGGGTGGTGCATGCCACATGTGAGCCAGAAGGGCGAAGGCGTGGATGAGCCGGTGGCTAGAGGAGACAACTGTCTAGTTACACAATATCTGTGGGAGTAGAGAGGGAGAAAAAGGGTGTGTGGAGGCGATGAATGTTGTGCTTCCCTCACGGCAGGTACAGAGTCGTCAGATGCGCCTGCTGGGGTGTGTGGGCCTGGGTCAGGAGCTGACGCAGAAGCGGATAAGGGCTCGTGACAGCAGCTGGGTCCACGACAGCAGCAGGGTGCAGGACAGTAGCAGGGTGCAGGACAGTAGCAGGGGGGTACCTGAGGGAGAAAAGAGGGGTATGTGGGTCCGCACTCAGGCGCATGGGCCGGGTCGGGAGCGAGGGCCGCCAGGCAGCGGCGGAGGAGGTGGTGTAGCTTACTGCGGCTGTAGCTAGAGGAAGAGAGAGGTCACCACGAGGTCAGGTCTTTTATAGCGGAGGTAGGCGTGGGTAGATAGTTGACCCCCGCTCCGTGGGCGGCGCTGGTTGACCTAGACCACGAGGCATACACTGGGGAATTCGCGGGGTCTGCTACTCAGCGACAAACAGCGTTTGTAGGGGAGGAATCCACTATAGTCTTTTGTTAAGGCGAATGTTCTGGCATTTGATTGTGAGAATTGGATGCAAAATCTTGTACACCGTATATATTTTCCTAATTATGAAATGTATAATATTTTATGAATATATTTGTACTGTATTATGTTATTGACTGAAATTTGGGTGCTACTATAGCGTGCTGTCTACAAAGATATCTTCAGTCCAACCTAACCTCACCAAACGGACCTAACCTAACCTAAATATCTTGTAGACCGCACGCTATAGCAGCACCGAAATTTGTAAGGAAGATTGTAGAAATCAATTAACATATCTCCAATTTTTACAGACAAAATATGCACTTTTGGATGAGAGAGACATCTGCTTGGTACAACAATATGCCTTTGAAGCCAGAGTTGAGATTGACCGGGATGGGAATGGTGCCGCCATTTATGCCTGGGCCTACGACATCACTCGGGGCAGGACCTCGGGCCAGTACGTCCACAACCTCCTCTGGTGAGTCACTTCTGTACCTTGACATTTTTTCCTGGTGTAAATTTTTTCGTAGGTCATCCTTCATCTTGTTCGTTTATTTGAATTAAGGTTCACATAGAATATTTTTTTGCCCCCTCTAACATCAGCAATTTGTCTTTATGCTTTTCTCTAGAGAGAATCTCCATTTCTGGCAATTGCTTTCTAGTCAAGCAACTCTAGTAATGTAGGTTACCTGCTAGGGCTTTCTGGTCTTCAAATTACCCCTTGTTATGTCATCTAGGGCTGATATGTTAATCCAATTTGGATGTACAATAATGAATAGCTGATCACCTTCCCAAACATACCATCAGCTTCATGTGATAGGATATTTGTGCGAAGGGTAACCTGAAAGGCTTGGAAGTTTTACTAGAGCAACCAGGCCACCCTGTCATTACATATTTCTCTTGCCTTCCTTATTGCCTTCGAGATATTGTTAACATTTACCTCCCACAGTGTAGATTTTCTTCCTGTTCCCAACTTTACGTTACTTCTCAGCTGTACATACTCTTATCCTATCTTCCAGGTTCCTTACATGACCATACTTATCTCGAGGACCTCTCTTCACTCACTCCACTTCTTCACAATTCAAACCCCTGGACCTCTCAACCATTCTGAACCTCCCGTGCACTTGAGTATTTATGACCTATGGGTTATTCAGCCTGTGACCTGTGAGAGATTCCCTTACCAGAATACACACTAAAAGAGCCTTCCTTGTCCCAGAGGATTGTCTACATTTTAGAGGCAGGGACACTCCTGTCAGATCAATATAAATTGCTGAATAAAGAGCTACTTGTCCAGGTGACAAGGCATATGAAGGAAACACCCACTTTGTTCTGTAAATGGACATAAAACAAGAGGTTAGATCCAGTTATGTTTCCTGTTACTATAGCAGAGTGACATGGAGGTACAATATGTCTCTTTGGGGAGGAGCTACCGGTATACAGTACTGTACAGTATATTGTTCCTGTAATCTGTCAGTCTTTTTTATGACATTCATTTCTTTTGAAACCTTTTCATTTTAGAATTGAGGGGTCCAGTTATGACATTGAAAGGAATGTTCTGGGGGTAATTTTGACTGTTATTATTAAACAGTTTAAGTTGGATAACCTGCGTAATAATCAACTGAACAAGATACCTGACCATTTGCAGCTGAACAACCTTTTTTGGCCATTTTCTGAGTCAGCTGGCCATAAAACAGGATTTAAGAATCAATATCTCATTTGTTCTGGTGTGTGTATGTGTGTGTTTTTTGTTGGATACAAATGCTGTTGTTGCATCAGTGAGAGGCAATTAATTTTAAATGGAATACATATTACATGTGTATTTTGTTTGCTTGATTATTCACACAAAGGTGTGATATTATGCAGTTTTTATATATTAATGTTGGAGGAAATGTACGTGGGCACAGTTGACATGTATTGTTTTAAATTTAGAGAGATGTTCTGGATATAGAAATTAGCATTAATCAATATATTGTAACTTGAAATGTTCATGATTGTTATTAAAATGCTTTTATGACTAAATATGATCAATGATATTTATATCCATTTATAGGGAGAAGCATAGAGGAGGAATTGCGTCTGGATGGAAGGTGGTCCATTTAAACAATGTGACTGTAGACAACAGACTGGAGAACCTTGCATTAGTACCAGTAGGAGCCAAGCGGCCTGCTACAACACAGACTGCAACACCAAGAGACCAATCTTTGTACTGGGTTGCTATCCAACAGCTACCTGCAGACCCAGTAGAGGAAGTAAGTTACTGATAATTATCTGTGTTTTGTCACATTTCTCTTAGAAGAGCATGGCTCTGGTAGCCACCTTGGAGAAACTTCATCTGTGCATGACATCTTGTAATGAACAGTGACATATACAGTACTGTATATTTTTTGGTGTCCATACCAAGATCGGTTACTGGCTAACAGGCTCTTTCCTGCAGTAATTGTACCCACAAAGTTCTCTCTCTTGTGTCTGAGGTGGAGGGGGTGTTAGCTCTCCTGAACACTTTCCGACAACCTCCTTTCCTTCTTGCTCACATTCCCCCCATCCTGCAATCACGAGGTGAGGACAAGAGACCCCATATTCCACTCATCCTGCAGTTCCACATCATAAATATTGTATGAGGGTAAGATTCAACACTCACCTTCAGTCATTGGGGGTCACTAGTTTGTGCTTTACTTAATGATTGAGAAAGTGAAGGTGGTCAGATTTAGTGCTAGACTCACTGCTTCCATGTGTACTTAAAAAAAGGATCAGTCTGCAGGCACGCTGTCCCTACTTTCAATGTCCTATGGAAATTTATGTATCCATGGAAAATACCATGATACCAGAGATAAAGAGAGAAGGTAACACGTTTGAAGAAAATGGCTACTAGATGTTAGGGGAGTGAACGCTTCATTGTGTGCACGATCAGAAAGTACAATACTGTGTTGAGTGGTGTATGTGGTTGGTTATGCTGTTATTCTGTAATTAGTGGGGATTATGTACAAAGTGACATACATAAACCAAAGGGATAACTTTGGGCTCTGTTGTGAAAAAGGAACAGCATAGCAGAGTATCTCTGATAGAGCAGTATTTGATGAAAGAATGTCTTTTGGGGCCTAATGGTTGAAATGGCCCCATCTTGGCCTAGAAGCAGTGCTCCTTGAACTCTCTCCGAAGCCATTTGAAGCGGGAATCAGAAGAGGAGGTTGCCAAAATCTTCCCCATTTGAAAAAAAAAATCCAGGAAATGTGAAAATTTGATCATTCTCTAATGGAACAAAATTTTTTCCATTTTGTTAGGAGTCATTCTTTATCTGGTCTATCATGATAGTTACAAGAACTGAACTTCACAATCCACTCAGTCTGTAGTTAATACAGTAGTTTATTAATAGTGTATTAGTGCCAGCCATATGTGTTGAGGATTAATCCTGGGTTAGAAACTAGACTTGATGGGTTTATTATACAGTATACTGTAAACCCTACCAATACCAGACTAATTCTTGCAACCCCTATCCAATATTGGGAGGATTCTGTTAATGAGAATATCCAGTAATGAGGAGTCTGTTTTTGGGAGGGTTTACTGTATCTACTATTTTACTGAGACGTCCATTATTAAAAGGATTTACTTCACTATGCTGCTATACTGTACTGAAGCATCCCAACGTGCTTACAAAATGGGAATTCCAGGATTACTCTTTAATTTCTAAAGAACAATCAGTATTGCTTAGGGAACATCATAACCAACCTGTGAATTGTGTTGGATTTGTTGAAAGTGTCGCTTCTGGGTCTAATGAACCAAGCTGCATAGGTACAGACCAATTAAAGTGCTTGAGGATGATTCTGTCACCAGCAGCATGATCTATTTTACTTGTGATTACTGTATGAGAGAAACCGTACTGTAGTAATTATTACTACGAATGCAATTGGCTCTAACATCATTATCAGAAGCTTTTAACATTGCATATTATTTTCTGAGAATTAAAACACAAAACGATATTTTTTATAGAACAAGTGTGTGTAGTTCAGTGTCAGCCTCATGCACACATACATATTGGGTGTGAGTGTGGTTTGCATTATAATTTGGATATTCACTTGATATTTATTTATTTGTATTTTTTTCCCATTTTCAGCAATATGGTGATTTTGTAGTAACACGATACTTCAATGCCAATGGTGAAGTAGTGGAGGAAGAGGAAGATTGTTATTATGAGTGCCGGTACCCTCCCTGTACCAACATAGAAAAAGAATTACGAGAGTTTTCAATATGTGGTAGATGTCAGGTGAGTGGAATGCCATAGTGTGTGTGTGTATAACCAATATAAAAGATGATTAAAACAAAAAAAATGGAGTACAGATATACTCCTGTACCTATCTGTTAAGTTTCATATAAGTGGTTTGGATGATGACAGAAAAGTTAACTGTGGACGAAAATTAATCACTGAGGGTTTTTATCTTAAAAATACAGTAAAGTAACATTACAGTCGACCCTCGTTAATTCGGACTAATAGGGGGGGAAGGGTGTCCGTTTTAGCCAATTGTCCGAATTAACCGATTTAGGGGTTAATATTGCATTATATTTCAAAGTAATTGTTTTCGTCACGATTTTATCCCACTTTCCACTGTAATACGTACGTCATTTCAGCAAAAATATTAAATTTCCGTGAATGTATTATATCAAGCACAGTATGAATAGAATATCATTGTAATATAACAGTATTTTAACCGAAAACTAGTAAAAAAACGAATAACATCTCAAGAACATCGGAAGCTTAGGTAAAGTCTTTTGTTTTCGTCATGTATTTTATCCTATTTTACATTGAAATACATCACGTTTCAGTAAAACTACTGTTTATTTCCGAGAATATATTCATTCAGGCGCAGTTTAGGTAAAATATACGTGTGATGTAACAGTTTTTTTAACTGAAAACGATTCGAAAAACACGTACCCTCTAGCCCTGTTCAAGGAGAGGGCTGGGAGAAGCTGTTTGGTGCTGCAGATGATGACAAGGAAAATGATTTGGATGGATTTTAATGAAAATATTCAGAAATATGGTATCGTAGTATTTATTCAAGTCAATTAAGATAGAATATTATTGTAATACAACAGTTTTTTAACTGAAAACCAATCGAAAAGCGATTACGGTAACATATTTTGAACGAATAAAGCGAAAGTCATTGTTTTCGTCACGATTTTATCCCACTTTCCACTGTAATACGTACGTCATTTCAGCAAAAATATTACATTTCCGTGAATGCATTATATCAAGCACAGTATGAATAGAATACCATTGTAATATAACAGTATTTTAACCAAAAACTATTAAAAAAAACGAGTAACTTCTCTTGAACATCAGAAGGTTAGGTAAAATCTTTTGTTTTTGTCACGTATTTTATCCTATTTTACATTAAAATACATCAAGTTTCAGCAAAACTACTATCTATTTCCGAGAATATATTCATTCAGGCGCAGTTAAGGTAAAATATACATGTGATGTAACAGTTTTTTAACTGAAAACGATTCGAAAAACACGTGTACCGTCTAGCTGATACACAACAGCTGGTGGTGCGTCATGCATCGTTGTAAACAATAGGAGGTTGAAGTAGATTACCGGGTATTATATTAATTGTGAAATATCAAAAAGGTTTTTATTACCGGTATTTTTTGTAGATCAATGAGAACTGTTATACCGTATATGATATGATGAGTTAGCCTGTGCTAAGAACTTCAACATAGACTACTGAAAACACGTTGTAAGGTAATTTAGCCTATTGTAAGTTGGTGAGCTTCATTTGCTGAAGGAACTGCACAACTTTTCATTACTAATTGGTACATATTTTACGTTTCCATTGTTTACTGGCAGTAAATGGTAGATATTTTTCATGTCTGAAGCTAAAAGTTGCACCCACACTAGTGGTGATGTTACATTTAACCAAAAAGAAGGCTGGTGTTTTATCCCAGCAGTGGGTGGACCAGCATTTTAGCTTAAGGTCTGCGTAGGTAATATTCCTAAGAAAAGAAAAAAAAAGTTCGTTCAGATTTTGTCCGAATTATCCGAAATCCGGATTAAAGGGGTCCGAATTAACGAGGGTCGACTGTATAGTTTTCTTATTCACACAGTTGGTTACTTAGGTAAAAATTTTCAAAAATAAATTAAGAGAAGAAAAGGTTGAAGTAAGGTGTAAAAGCGTGGGATATAAATAGGCTGTAACTATGCAGATTATATGCTACCCCAATTCATTGAACTTTCCTGTTGGCCTAACTTAATTTAGAAGGTAGTTGGAAGAAGGAATAGAATTTTTGAGTTGTGATTTAGTAGAAATGCAAGGTTATGTGATATCATCTAGGCTCTTAGGTCTATGTGTATGGATGAATCACGGAGGAATGAGAGCAAGAATGGGCAAGCTAGAGTTGCCCTTAGTGATGAGTCATTATGTAAACGAGTCTACAATGTTGACAAAATAGCAAGAGGGAGTGATGAGTCTTTCTTATAGTAGAGGGAACAAGTGAGTGACCTGTATGAGACAGATCACCACCCAGTACCCTTTGCCCAAGCTTGTTAGTTGCCAGAAAGCAAGTGTACTTAATGGCCAGATAATACTGTCCATATAGAAAATATTTTTTGTAAACATTATTTTTATTGCTGTATCTGGTGTTCTGTTTGTGTGTTTAATAGTGATTTAAATTACCTCATTTCTTTTGTACAGGAAGCAAGATACTGTGGTACATATTGTCAGCAGAAGGATTGGCCTGTCCATAAGAAACTTTGTCGAGAAAAGAGACGACCTTGTCTGACTGAGAGACCTCCTGAACGCTAACATCCGCCCATGCTAGTCCCACATCTATGGTAGACACCCATACTTTTATATATTGGAGGATTATTTGAATTTCACTTAACCCTCATATAAATCATCATTTTACAATGAAAATTATGACAAATAGTCTTTCAAAAGTTCGACAGTCCTACTTGTTTACAGGTTAACAAGTAATTTTTGTGTTCTCACATCCGGGTAAAATGAGGACAAACTGTATACGAATCCACGAGGAAAATATTTGTTACATTGGTGAGTGATGGGTAAAATTTTTAATATAGAGCACCATGGTTGATAAGTGTGTGATACATTATGCCATTGGTCTCAACTTAAAGTTTTAAAAATATTTTCTTATTGATTGACAAAAAAAATTAATATAAATACGTACAGTACTGTACTGTATATGTATTGTGGAAGTTTTTTGGCGGTAATTACCCGATTAATGGCATTGTTACTTTTAGAGTTTATTTAAAGAGTACTGTACCTGTATGAAGGACATAAGACTGAAAGTATGGTCAAGTTAACTAGTTACTTATATAACCTCCTCCAATATGATGAGATTGGGTTTCTGCCACAACTAATATAAGTAATTACAGTTAACAAGTGAACTGGATAATAAAAGTTTCAAGTCCTTAGTGAGTATGAATAGTCAAGTACTGATACAAGAAGCAAGACGTGTGTGTGTGTGTGTGTATAAGATTTGATAATTAATAACTGCTAAAACTTAATATGCAGTTTATCTTGGTAATCTAATGAGTGGTGGTTAATATTATGTGACAGCTTGTATTTCTAAAGTACTAAAAGACTATGACAATTATTTCTTTACTGGTTTTAAATTGAGAAAAAAATACGAGCCATAAAACACAATAATTCAAGTGTAATTGTTTCATAAGAGTGAGATTTCTGTAATTCTTATAATTTTTTTACTGCAGGTATACTGCTCTGCTCATGACACTTGTAAGAACAGGAGCAAGGAGGAGGAAGTGCCTCTGACACTTGCGCAGGCATCAAGTGGTTTAAAATAATATATATACCTTTTTAATGGGAGATTTAATAATTTGCTATTAAAATACTAAGTTGTCTTTAAGAAAAACTCTTTATCTAACATGTATACTTTTTTGCTAACTTGGAATCAGGGTGTAGCTATTTGAACATGTGATTATGTTCTTGGGCTTTGAAGGAATATATATTTGTATATCTAGTCGAAGGGATATTGTACTATACTCTTATTCTGATGGCTCATTTTGTGCTTCCCTACTGTATGTATGTTTGTTTGTCCAGTTCTAGCAACTCATTCCTATGAGCATTTCACGTTTCATGTAATACAGGTAAAGAATTTATTGATTAACCACCTAATGTTGCCTATGTATGTTTCATGATTTTTTATAACATTTTAGATAATTTTGTTGTGTGTATTGAGCGATACAGAAACTGTAGTGATAGCAATATTATACATACATGTACTTTTTCCACTAATTCTTTAACAGTGTTTTGGCGCTATTTATTGTACAAAAATTCAATGGCATGTTTTACTTATAAACCTTAAATATTATTAAATGCAGCATAGTCAAGCGTATTGATGAACTGTTACAAATTAACAATATGTTAAAACTAAAATTCCAGAGGCTGATCTTGTACCAACAGGTAATTTCACTGATATTTTTTATTTTTTTATTACCTGAAACTTTAATTTACCAAGAATCCTTTAGCATTAGCTTATTAATGTTAATAAGATTAAAACAAATATTTGAAATAATACAAATTTGGAGTACCTGTTTTATTAATTCTGCTTTCAGGATATTTTACAAATACACAGTTCATCTATTTTTTTATGAAAATGTTTATTTGTGCCTGTGTAGAATTTTGAGGAAATAAGATGCAAGATCTATGCCTTTATGTGGAACAGAAGTGGTTTAGTGTATCAAGTGCAATGCTTGCTCAACTTCTCATTCCATAGGAGCTGTATGTAATGATTTGGAAAATGGTTTTAATCTGTGTTGCAATATATATATATATATATATATATATATATATATATATATATATATATATATATATATATATATATATATATATATATATATATATATATATATATATATATATATATCCAGGTGGGCACAGGTGACATGTTTCATCTGTGTTGTTATTGGATGTACAAAGAGTTCTGATTCAGTGTCGTGATTTAGTGTTCCTGTGTGGGAGTGGTATTTATTACAGCCTCTAACTATTTATTCCATTAATTTTAGTGTTTTTAGTTAATAGTCTCTAATCCTAATTGTAATATTTTAGGTTTTTGGCAACATATTTACCTATACTTTACTGTACTGTACTATTTTTAGTTCAAGTATAGTTTTGAGTCTAATAACTTAACCAGTTGAAATGCAATATATATATATATATATATATATATATATATATATATATATATATATATATATATATATATATATATATATATATATATATATATATATATATATATATATATATATATATATATATATGCTAAGATACTGCTAATAATAATAATTTAGATGCTTTAATTAAAAGAATTCACACTTCAGAGCACAGTTACCTGTAGCTTAATTGTACAATCATTATTTTTGGTATGTAGATATTTAACCAGCAGCTGTGTTGTTGAGACTGATAACTTCATTGCTGACTGTATCATCATTTGAATTTAATCAATAATGGTTACTTTTTTTTCAAGATATATACAGATGCTGTGAAGATTTTCTGAAATGAACACCAATTCAGATTATTTCTGCTTATGCTTGAAGTGATAATTTCAACCAATAATAATAGGGGAGGTGCTCTTGGACCTAATGTTGAATTAAAAGACAAACTAATGGTATAAGTTTGTGGGTTGAACGACGCTGATAATGAGTTACAACATATCACCTTAGTTTTTAAGTAACGACTAACCTGAGTTCCTTGTTTAGTATTTTTCATTTCTGTAATTTTTTTTTATTGTGATTTCTACTTTTTAATAAGATATTTTATGTACCTTCATTTCTCTTGTTTTCACAGAATAATATTTTCTTTCTTTGGGTTGGATATAAATTATCTATCTTAAACTGACAGTATCTTTTTACTTTCTTCATGCTATATTTCTGCACTTTGTCTAGTGTCATGATGACACAAATTTTGAAATGAGGCTTCTGAATAATGACAAGACAATAGAGTAAGATAATGGGCATGATGTGTATATTATCAAGAAAGTTGTATGTATTTAGTTTTAACACCACAAGTATACACGAGTACCAAACCATGACTACTGTACTGTATATGAAAGCTGTCCTATCTTTATTAATGATTATTATAGAAGAGTGATGAAACTTGAATTTGTGTCTTTGATGTGAGCAGTAAGACTCGCCACATACTGTACTGTTTGCTTAAGAGAAATTGCCAAGACAAAGCTGCGAGTTTTTCCTTTTGTCGACAGAAGCAAATTATCAGCGACTGGAAAAGATAAGGAACCTTTGAACTTTAACAACAGGTAATAAACAAATAGTAATATTTATATAGTTGGCTCATAGTTGAAAGTTCTTTATTTACTAGAACATAAGGGATAGTAATTCTTTCATAACTGACTAATAGAAGATGAAATTTATTAAATTTGTAGGGAATTAGTCTCTACTGTATGTGAAACTAGGAAATGTCTCCATATTGGTAGTTGAGAAAGCACACTACTGTACTTTTTTTCTCAATTAAAGATGAATATTTTCATTAAATTTTTTCTCTTTAAAATACTGTATGACGTACCATCTTCAGTATGTTGGAGTTTGTGTTACAAGCAATTCAGTTTTTCATAAATTAATGTCTATAAATCCTAAAAAAAATATTTGAATCAAACAAATGATTTTGTTAATTGCATATATGATTTTGTTAATTGCATAATTTTTATGAAAGTTATACTGTACCTGTACTGTATCTTATTTCATTGTACCAATTTGGATACTCAAGAAAAGCTGTTGTGCCAAAAAAATATGACAAATATAAGCAAGGAACTCCAGTTGTGTGACAAGGTTATGATACTTTGCAAACCTTATCTTGAGTTGAGTAACATTACTATTTTCTCATACAGTAAATTTTTGCTTAGGAATTTATTTTTTTTTCTTCAGTAAGACATTTCTGCCCAGTATTGCATTCATGTTCTTGACTTTTTTGTTCCTTTTTACAGTATTTGTTTAGCATTAATTCTCAGTGGATTAACTAACTTAGGTAATAGCTTTGGTAACTTTAAACTACTAACCCACACAAAGTGACTGACAAGCTAAGTAATATCACTATTCCTAACCGTAGTTTTCACAGAGCTATGCTAACTTAGCCTTGTGATAAATGATTTGTGATGTGACAAAAATGGAATTATTATTGTTTCACAAAAACACAAAAGTGGATGCTCGTATACAATGTATAGTGATCCAGACTCCTAGTAGTAAACAGTATATAAATTATTCATCCAATGATTGTTACTATTTTGAGGAAACTTAATCTACTGTATATGTGGGAGGGAAATTGACCATTGTGATATTTGTATGTAAATAAGCATACAGGAACTGGCTGTATTTGTATTTTTATATTACATTTTTACCAATGAGCATCCACTTTTAATCATTGATCTCACACTGACATACAGATAATTGATAATTTAATGTGCATCACTCCATTCTTCAAAGTCTTAGGTATTTTGTGTAATGTGATAACATCATGGATGTATCTTCAGGTATTATTATGAGCTGTATTAAAAAGTTAATAATCTGGTTTATGGTCAAAAATTTCAATCAATCTTATTTCTAGTTGTTATTATTTCAGACAAACTTAGCCTTTTTAACACTTGACCTGTGATAGTAGAGCATATAGTATTTGCAGATCATGTTCTGAACATTGAGTAAAGAACTTAGGACAATTTTTTTGTGCAATGTGCTGAGAACTTTTTAAAACTATTTTACAGGACAAGCTTCCTCCTTTAGTAGTCAATAATCTGTTATTGATCATTGGGTAATTAGACTTTTTAATACATCCTTTTAAGATATAATTTGTCCTTTCAGTTTCATTTAGTTATTTTCAGAAGAATAAGTTGGGGGAAGTGAGCCAAAGAAATATCTTTTGTGATTTTTATTAATTATTATTATTATTTTTTTTTTACTGTGACTGTCCACATGCACAGTGTTGTCAAAAAGAAAAATCAGGGAAGATAAAGACATTTGTTATGCTTTGCATTGTCTTTGCAAAAGGCTGATCCATTTATTCATATCATTCTATCATATTAAGAATGGACTAAAATAAAAGTAATGTATAATTAGCAAGATTTAAACAGTGATGCAAAAAGTATGATAATTATGAGCTGAAAAGATTTAAATGCAAACTGAACGAAGCATATCAG